CCCCCCCCCCGCCCCAATCAGCCCAATGTCTGTGGCTTAAATTAGTGTCAATACTCAAGACCTGGATGTGAGAGTTGATCCCCTATTGAGGCTTGCTAATTGCTGCCCAACCCGCTGAACCTGGAGGATTAGCCTTTGTAATCTTGCTCCTGATAGAGCATGTTAAGCACTGGATCCAATTAACTCCCTGTTTTTCTGGCCCTGTTAGTGGCCCTTGGCAGCCTGCAACTCCCTGCCCTGGGTGATTAGATGTAATTCCTCCAGGATTGGCCCTGGATGATCCCTCGGGTTCAGTTCTGTTACTCATCTCAGCCTGCTTGGCATGTCTCTCGGTGGGAATTTGCAAAAACCAATGAATCCAAAGGAAATTAAAGCAGTCATCAGTGAGGCAGACTCATCTCCTTGGTGAATGTCATGAGGTTCAAAAAAACATCTGTGTTTGAAGGCTCTCAAATTGCACCTTGTAAACAGCTGGAGGAGCTGTCTGCATCCAGTAATTCTAGAAGAAGTGTTACATGATTCATCTTGCCTCTTCATGAAAATATCAAGTCATGGCTGCAATACCTATTCACAGAACATGCCAAGCCCTTCCATTCGCTCTCAGCCCCCAGGTCCTGTTGCTGTTAACTTTCGTGGATGCTCCAATGAGCTCCATGGCAGGACGTGGTGTGTAATGTGTACTGATGATGTTCCTGAGGACAAATGAGGAGGGAGCCTCATTTGTTCCAGGTCTCTGTGGACAGTCCATAGACCAAGAATAGCCATCAAAATATTTCCACTCCATTTTTGCCTCTGCCATCTGTAATAGATTTGAGATGTTCTGATAATTTTAAAGGGGAAAGATCAGTATCTGAGTGTGACTATAGGATGCACGCACATGCACACACACACACACACACACACACACAGTGTAACTGCCATCACTGCACTGTGCTGATTTCTTTTGCACCTGTTTCTAGTGACTTGGCCTTTCTAGGTCTCTGTGCATCTCAGCAAGGGCTCTGTTGTCCCCCTAAAGATGACAGAATTGGATCCTGTGTCATGAAGGTTGGGGATGGGCTACTGACTTCCTGTATTTCCAGAGTGGAGGCAGAAGACCCAGGTCAACCTCTACTTTGTGGCTGTGCTGGGATAAGAACCCCGGGTCCCTCTTCAGATGGTTTGTCCTGTGTCAGGTGCAGTTTTCTCAGAGATGCTTGTCCTTGGAAGCTGAAAGAGACCAATGGCTGTACTCACTGTCACCATAACAAACAATGGCTTAAACCTCCAGTCACAGGGCTAAGAACTTTAGAGAGATGATCTCATTGAATATCTACAACACCCCTCATGGTATTCCCATTTTACAGAGAAGGAAACCGAAGCTGAGTTAATTGGCCTGAGATTAGTTATACAGTTAATGAGTTGTATGTATAATTAGTGGTGCATGTGGTTCCCGCCCATGGCTGTGCATTAGAATCACCTGAGAAGCTTTCGGAACTGCTAGCCAGGCTTTTACTCAGGCCAGTCAAATCAGTATTTAAATCTCCAAGGGGATTCTGTTTGATGCATCTGGGGTGAGTACCACTGCATTATGCTTTCTTCCCCTTCCCTCTTCTCCACCAGATGGCTCCCATTTGGTGTTTGGTCTGTACCCATCATGTTTCAGGGATGGCTCAAAGAGACCCTGCATCTCTGCATTTCCTCCCCAGGAGGAGCCCATGAGGTCAGGATGCTCTTGGTCAAGTGTAGCACAGGTTTTGGGCAGATCTGGAGCAGGAAACTCACTCAGTGACTGCCGTCTCCCCATCTCTGCTCCCCACTTCTGTCTTCTCTCCCTTCCTGGGCTGTGCTTCTCTTCACTCCCATGCACACAAGCTGAGCATGATAGCACCATCATTATCTAAACCAGTGGCTCCAAGTGTGGTCTGAGGGCCCTGGGGCAGGCCCAGACCATTTCAAGTGCTACGGGAAAAGTAGATGTCCAACTGCCGCAGGATGGCTTCTGCAGCGATGTCTAGGTTCTTGGCGTTTTGGACAAAGAATCGAACAAAACATGCCAATAGTGAAAGGAAAAGGTAGTTTATTAAGTAAAAGGGAAGGTGCACTCCTGAGGAGTAGGAGTGGGCCTGAGCAGGCAGAGAAAGAGTAGTTCAAAAAGCCTAGATAGTTGCATTCTGCAAGATTTATAATTTTTTTTAGAGCTATTTTTGCTATAGGGCATGCATGCTCATTGGAGAGACAGAGAGAGACACAAAGATAGAAACTAAGAAATCATCCCCTGGGGGGATGGTCACTCCACAATCCCTTCTACTCCATTCTCCTCTTAGGATCTTGGGCACGCATGCGCATGCACCGGGTGTGAGTTTTAAGCTGCCAGGTTTGAGACTCAAGTGACATAGCCATTATGCCATCTGCTGGTCCTGAGATTTATAATTTTTAATCTAGGTCATGTTGGTTGCTCACTGACTGGGCCCGCTGAGAGTTCCCATCTCATTGGCTCTATCAGATATGGCCAGGCCCACTGATTTCTCACTGGCTATTTCAAATGCGGCCCCACTGATTCTTCTCATTTATGTTAACATAGTGAAATTTTTATTTATTTATTTTATTTGTTTATTTTTTTGGAGAGGTTTTTGCTATAGGGTGCGTGAGCTTGCCAGAAAGAGAGACAGAAAACGAGAAATCACCCCCCAGGGGGGATGGCCACACTGCAATCCTTTCTCCTCCATTCTTCTCTCGGGATTTTGGGCATGCACGCACATGTGCCTGGTGTGAGTTTAAGCCGCCAGGTCTGGGACTCGAACTGCGGTCGATTACGTGGGAGTCCAGCGACATAGCCATTACACTAACTGCTGGTCCCGTATTTTTATTTTTTAAAATTTATATTTATTATTATTATTATTTTTTGAGAGGTTTTTGCTATAGGGAGCATATACTTGCCAGAAAGACAGAGACAGATAGAGAGAAAATGAGAAATCAGTCCCCAGGGGCATGACCACACCACATCCCTTCTCCTTCATTCTCCTCCCGGGATCTTGGGCACAGATGCACATGTGCCTGGCGTCAGTTTAAGCCACCAGGTCCGGGACTTGAACTGTAGTCGACTACATGGGAGTCTAGCGATGTAACCATTACACTATCTGCTAGTCCCAAATTTTTTATTTTTAAATGAAGAAATCTTCTAAAATGTTTTTTAAATTAATAGTTTTATTCACTAATATGGCATGTTGATAGCCATAAACTGTATAAACAAAAGCTCTTTGGAGTTCTCAATCATTTGGAGTATAAAGAGGTCCGGGGATTGTATAGTTTGAGAACTGCTGATCTAAATCATCCACTGTTTTTTCAAGAAGCCCAATTTTAGCAACTCAAAGGGGAATTGCTAAGAGATTGATGGTTTTATATTATACTTAAAATAGTTATCTATTATTTTAATCAGAATTTTATATCATCTCAGTTTAGGGTATGTTTACATTTAGGAAAATACCAGGTGGGTGGTCAGATCTAAAATGGAATAATAATCTGATGTTCTAAAGAAGGCATTTGAGAATGGGGAAACGAGTTGCTTCCTCATTTTATTTGTTTATTTATTTTAGGTTTTTGCCATAGGGTGTATGTGCTCACCAGAGAGAGATGAGAGAGACAGAGAGAGGGAAGGTGAGAAATCACTCCCCAAGGGGGTTGGGCACACTGCAATCCCTTCCCTCCAGTCTCCTCTTGAGATTTTG